TACAAGAAATATTGAAAGGGGTCCTCTAAGCAAAGAGAGAGCCTAAAAGCAACAAAGACCAGAAAAGAACAGAGACAATATACAGTAACAGTCACCTTACAGGCAATACAATGGCACTAAATTCATACCTTTCAATAGTAACCCTGAATGTAAATGGGCTAAATGCCCCATTCAAAAGACACAGGCTATCAGATTGGATTAAAAAAAAAAAAGACCATTGATATGTTGTCTTCAAGAGACTCATTTTAGACCCAAAGACACCCCCAGATTGAAAGTGAAGGGGTGGAAAACCATTTACCATTCTAAAGGATACCAAAAGAAAGCTGATGTGGCAATCCTTATATCAGACAAATTAGATTTTAAACCAAAGACTGTAATAAGAGGTGAGGAAGGACATTATATCATACCTAATAGGGCTATCCAACAAGAAGATCTAACAATTGTAAATATCTATGCCCCTAACATGGGAGCAGCCTTATTAATATAAGGCTATTAATAACAAAAGCAAAGAAACACATCAACAACAAGACAGTACTAGTGGGGGACTTTAACACCCCCCTGACTGAAATGGACAGATCATCTAAGCAAAAGATCAACAAGGAAATAAAGACTTTAAATGACACACTGGACCAAATGGACTTCACAGACATATTCAGAACATTCCATCCCAAAGCAACGGAATACACATTCTTCTCTAGTGCCCATGGAACATTCTCCAGAATGGATCACATCCTAGGTCACAAATCAGGTCTCAACCCATACCAAAAGTTGGGATCATTCCCTGCATATTTTCAGACAACAAGCTTTAAAACTGGAACTCAATCACAAGAGGAAAGTTGGAAAGAACTCAAATAAATGGAGGCTAAAGAGCATCCTACTAAAGAATGAATGGGTCAACCAGGAAATTAAGAATTTAAAATATTCGTGGAAACAAATAATAATGAAAATATAACTGTTCCAAATCTTTGGGATGCAGCAAAGGCAGTCCTGAGAGGAAAGTATATAGCAATACCAGCTTTTCTCAAGAAACAAGAAAGGTCTCAAATACACAACATAACCCTACACCTAAAAGAGCTGGAGAAAGAACAGCAAATAAAGCCTAAACCCAAAGGAAAAGAGAAATAATAAAGATCAGAGCAGAAATCAATGAAATAGAAAACAAAAGAACAGTAGAACAGATCAATGAAACAAGGATCTGGTTCTTTGAAAGAATTAGCAAGATTGAAAAAGCCCTGGCCAGACTTATCAAAAAGAAAAGAGAAATGACCCAAATCAACAAAATCATGAAAAAGAGGAGAGATCACAACCAACACCAAAGAAATACAAACAATTATAAGAACATATTATGAGCAACTATATGCCAGCAAATTAGATAATCTGGAAATGGATGCATTCCTAGAGATGTATCAACTACAAAACTGAACCAGGAAGAAATAGAAAACCTGAACAGACCTATAACCACTAAGGACATTGAAGCAGTCATCAAAAATCTAACAAACAAAAGCCCAGGGCCAGATGGCTTCCCAGGGAAATTCTACTGAACATTTAAAGAAGAATTAATACCTATTCTTCTGAAACTTTTCCAAAAAATAGAAATGGAAAGAAAACTTCCAGACTCGTTTTATGAGGCCACCATTACCTTGATCCCAAAACCAGACAAAGACCCCATCAAAAAGGAGAATTACAGACCAATATCCCTCATGAACATGGATGCAAAAATTCTCACCAAAATACTAGCCAATAGGATCCAACACTACATTAAAAGGATTATTCACCACAACCAAGTGGGATTTATCCCTGGGCTGCAAGGCTGGTTCAACATCCGCAAATCAATCAATGAGATACAATACATTAATAAAAGAAAGAACAAGAACCATATGATCCTCTCAATTGATGCAGAAAAAGCATTTGACAAAGTACAGCATCCTTTCTGGATCAAAACTCTTCAGCGTATAGGGATAGAGGGAACATACCTCAATATCATAAAAGCCATCTAGGATAAACCCACAGCGAATATCATTCTCAATGGGGAAAAACTGAGAGCTTTCCCCCTAAGGTCAGGAACATGGCAGGGATGTCCACTATCAATACTGTTATTTATCATAGTATTAGAAGTCCTAGCCACAGCAATCAGACAACAAAAAGAAATAGAAGGCATCCAAATCAGCAAAGAAGTCAAACTCTCACTCTTTGCCAATGATATGATACTTTATGTGGAAAACCCAAAAGACTCCACCCCAAAACTGTACTAGAACTCATACAGGAATTCAGTAAAGTGGCTGGATATAAAATCAATGTACAGAAATCAGTGGCATTCCTATACACCAACAACAAGACACAAGAAAGAGAAATTAAGGAGTCGATCCCATTTACAATTGCACCCAAAACCGTAAGATACCTAGGAATAACTCTAACCAAAGAGGAAAAGAATCTGTACTCAGAAAACTATAAAATACTCATGAAAGAAATTGAGGAAGACACAAAGAAATGCAAAAATGTTTCATGCTCATGGATTGGAAGAACAAATATTGTGAAGCTATCAATGCTACCTAGAGCAATCTACACATTCAATGCAATCCCCATTAAATACCATCCGTTTTTTACAAAGAAATGGGACAAATAATCCTAAAATTTGTATGGAACCAGAAAAGACCTAGAATAGCCAGAGGAATGTTGAAAAAGAAAAGCAAAGTTGGCAGCATCACAATTCCGGACTTCAAGCTCCATTACAAAGCTGTAATCATCAAGACAGTATGGTAATGGCATAAAAACAGACACATGGATCAATGGAACAGAATAGAGAGCCCAGAAATGGACCCTCAACTTTATGGTCAACTAATCTTCGACAAAACAGGAAAGAATGTCCAATGGAAAAAAGACAGTCTCTTCAACAAATAGTGTTGGGAAAATTGGACAGCCACTTGCAGAAGAATGAAACTGGACCATTTCCTTACACCACACACAAATATAGACTCAAAATGGATGAAAGACCTCAGTGTGATACAGGAGTCCATCAACATCCTAAAGGAGAACACAGGCAGCAACCTCTTCGACCTCAGCTGCAGCAACTTCTTCCTAGAAACATCACCAAAGGCAAGGGAAGCAAGGGCAAAAATGAACTATTGGGACCTCATCAAGATAAAAAGCTTTTGCACAGCAAAAGAAATAGTCAACAAAACCAAAAGATAGCCAACAGAATGGGAGAAGATATTTGCAAGTGACATATCAGATAAAGGGCTAGTATCCAATATATATAAAGAACTTCTTAAACTCAACACCCAAAGAACAAATGATCCAATCAAGAAATAGGCAGAAGACTTGAACAGACATTTCTGCAAAGAAGACATCCAAATGGCCAAAAGACACATGAAAAAGTGCTGAACATCGCTTGGCATCAGGGAAATCCAAATGAAAACCTCAATGAGATATCACCTCACACCAGTCAGAATGGCTAAAATTAACAAGTCAGGAAACGACAGATGTTGACGGGGATGTGGAGAAAGGGGAACCCTCCTACACTGTTGGTGGAAATGCAAACTAGTGCAGCCACTCCTGAAAACAGTATGGAGGTTCTTCAAAAAGTTGAAAATAGAGCTAGCACATGACCTAGCAATTGCACTACTGGGTATTTACCCCAAAGAAACAAAGGTAGGGATCCAAAGGGGTATGTTCACCCTGATGTTTATAGCAGCAATGTCCACAGTAGCCAAACTGTGGAAAGAGCCAAGATGTCCATCAACAGATGAACGAATAAAGAAGAGGTGGTATATATATATTCCATTGTATATATATATATATATATATATATACAATGGAATATTATGCAGCCATCAAAAGGAGTGAAATCTTGCCATTTGCAACGATGTGGATAGAACTGGAGAGTGTTATGCTGAGTGAAATAAGTCAATCAGAGAAAGACATGTACCATATGACCTCACTGATATGAGGAATTCTTAATCTCAGGAAACAAACTGAGGGCTGCTGGAGAAGTGGGGGGTGGGAGGAATGGGGCGGCTGGGTGAAAGACATTGAGGAAGGTATGTGCTATGGTGAGCGCTGTGAATTGTGCAAGACTGTTGAATCACAGATATGTACCTCTGAAATAAATAATACATTATATGTTTAAAAAAAAAGAAGAAGAACGAGATAGCAGGTGGGGAAATCAGAGGGGGAAATGAACCATGAGAGACAATGGACTCTGATAAACTGAGGGTTCTAGAGGGGTGGGGGTTGGGAGGATGGGTTAGCCTGGTGATAGCAGGGCACGTTCTGCATGGAGCACTGGGTGTTATACGCAAATAATGAATCATGGAACACTACATCAAAAACTAATGATGTAATGTATGGTGATTAACATAACATAAAAAAAAAACTAAACCTCTTAGCCCACAAGGAGTGTTGAGTATCTGTGCTCACACATGCACATGCACCTAAACCCGCACACACAACCACCATAACAGACAGGGAAGGGCAGCCCAGTTCAGAACAAAAGCAGAGGAGAAAAACATGAGTTCTTTACAACAGGATTACATGCCCATGCATATAAATTATTTATGGTGTTCAGAATAGTTTTATTACTGCTTTTGTTACATAGCCCAGGCCCGTAAGAGCCATCAGCATAGTCCTAAGCTATGTTAGTAGGCAGCTTGGTAAGTGACTATGAACATCGGGCACAGCATTTTCACTTTCATATCTGAAGTGTCTTTCCTACATCTGTGAAGTATCCTGAAGCACAAATATCTTTTGACAGTTTGCTGACAAATGACTTCATTTCTTTTGTTGCTAATGGTTGATTATAACATTTGGATAAAGACTGAAGTGAAAAAAATCCAAGTTTTAATATGAAGCAGATTAGTTTTGAAAATTCTATTATGTCAACAATAAATGGCAAATAAAAAAATTTCTTCACTGATTTACATAACATTATTTTTTTAAGTTGGAAAATAATTTTCTGAATGTGGCAGCATGAACATTTCAATCATGACCCCCTGCTCCCATACCTTGTACAATTATGTTTGCTGTAGCTTGAACAGAGCCTTGATTATTGTCAGCATGACAGGTAAATTGACCATGATCCTGCAGGGTGACATTCTCCAAGTATAGTCCTCCAGAAGTAGCCAGATGCCTGGATCCATCCAGAGCCTCTCCGCTGCCCCTAGTCCAAGTAACCTGGGGGTGTGGGTGGCCTGTGGCCATACATTCCAAAGTTGTGCTGGTACCAATTAAAACCTCTGTGTCCTGGGGCTGGATTATAAAACTAGGCTTGGCTAAAGGAAAGAGAAAAACAAAACAAAATACAACCAGTAGCAGTTAAGAAGCCTTATTTATTCTACATTGTGTTTTTTTAAGATTTTTTTTATTTTTTATTAGAGAGAGAGAGTACAAGCAGGGGGAGCAGCAGAAAGAAGGAGAGGGAGAAGCAAGCTCCCCACCAAGCAGAGGGCTGGACTTGGGGCTTGATCCCAGGACCCAGGGATCATGATCTGAGCCGAAGGCAGACACTTAACTGTCTGAGCCACCCAGGCACCCCTCTACATTGTGGTTCTTAAAACTTTTGTCAATTTCAAAATGACTTTAAACTAAAATATTATATACATACATTAAATACTCAAATAGTTAAATCTAAAACATCTGGGTCTTAAATCTAGATTGATATAAACATGCAATTTTTTTAATAGATTGCTTCCCTTGATACCATCATGGATCACAGACACTGCTAGTGCCCACCTATTTTTTATTTTAGGGGCTAACTGTTCAAATTAGACTTCTCAGACTCTCTTGCAGTTAAGGGTATCCATGTGACACAGTTCTACCAGTGAGATGTAGGCACACATCCCTGGAAGAGTTTCCTTCCCAGATAAAAGAACAGTCTAACTAGTCACTGCTTTTACTCCTGTTTGCTACCTGGCATTCAGGCATGAGTTTGGGTTACAAGAGCCAACTTGGGCCACGAAGTGACAATTATGAAATGGAGAAAAAGGTCTCAATGCAAAGGACTGAAGAATAGAAAGATATCATTGGAGCATTGGGCTAATGTGGCAGTCTGTCCAGACTCCTGCATTCCTTGTGGCATACAAATAAACCACATTCCCACGCGTGCACGTGCACACGTTCACACACACACACACACACACACACACACACACACACACACCATGTTTAAGCCATTTCTCATCAAATTTTCTGTCACTTTCAGCTAAATATAATACAAATTGACTTGCTAAGTATCCTTGTAAATACAAAATTTAGACTTCCATATGGAGTGTTCCACTCACTGATTCATAAGAGTTTCATCTTTTCTGGAAATCTCAAGCAGAAATTAAATACTTATGAGGGTGTTAAACATGCTTAGTTATTGGGTCTAATTTTGGGGGGCTCCTTAATTTCTGAGATGAATATACCATTAAGAGTAGAGATAAATTTATTTAATCTAATTCAACAAGCAAGATTTAATTTAATTTTAACAATATTGAATGCCTTAAGTTAGATAAAATGCTAGATGTTGGAAAGATACAAAGATGCACAGGACACTCCTTTCCTCATAAGCTTATGCTTTAGCTACAAGGACAGAAGACAAACCATATAATCTGAAGAACTACAACATACCTTGGAAATCATTATATTACAGTAAGTTGTAAAGTGCTATAGAGAAATGGAAAGAACTATTATAATAATTGAAGTATGAAAGGTTTTTGAAGTGAATCAATGGCAGTAGAAATGAAAAGGAAGACAATCTGATACATCTTGGAGCCAAATTTCTAGAGACTTGGTGAAGACAAGATAGCAATGGAGGTTGAATCTGAAGTTTTGGGAAGATAACAATATCAACAGTGATGGAAAACATAAGATGTAGTGCAGGTGAATGTGCTTGAAGAACATAAAAAATTTACATTTGAAAATGAACAATAGGGCTCGCTTTGGCAGCACATATACTGAAAATGAACAATAAGACAATAGTGACATCAATCCAAATCTCAGGAAAGATACCAGCAATAAAATCTTTGAAGTGTACGTTAATTATGCAAGTTGGATGTTTGGGAATTGCTTTAAAACTCAAGGAGAGCTCAATGGAGGAAGAAGAAATGTGGTTAGGGCAGGCAGAATGGACAAAGAGCAGGTGGGGAGGGTGTGAGGAATGGCGCAGTTGATGCAGGCTGAAGGCCTTGGGAAAGGAGAGAACCTTCAGAAAGTATCAGGAGGAAGTGGTGCCCAGAAGTCAAAGTAGGAATACTCCAGTGTGCAGTGTCAGGCTTGATCTGGAGGGCAAATGAATGACACTTTGGAAGGAGCTAGTGGGTTTGCCAATCAGAAATTACTGACGAACTCTGTAAGGAATTCCCATATTCAGTCAATCTCTGACTCAAATGCATTATTTCTGCTGGAATAATGCTTCGTTCAGGGCTGTTTTCTCCACTCCCTCTGTCACTGCCAATGTCACTACTCTCCTCTGCATCATCACCACATCTGCTGACCTCCTCACCTTACTCTGTCTTCCTGCTTGTCCTCCAAACTGCTGCTTGGGAGATCTTTGTAACAGATAAATCTGATTTTGAAACACTTAGAGTACAGTCATGAATGTTCAAACTCTGACTTACAATTCATCAAATCTCATGTAATTTCCAACCCTTCATTTGTATCCTCCAGACATCCAGAACTCCATGTCTTGAATATCCACTGCTCTCTCTACCTTTACTGCCCTTTCTACTAAAATAAGTTTTCAGTCTTATTTATCTGGCTGTTTTCTACTTCTTGCTTTCAGCTTAGATGTCACTGGTCCTGGAAAATCCTTCCATGAATGAACACAGATTTCCAAGTCTGATCTAAGAGCTCCTCCTCTGTCAGGGGTCTGCTGGAGCTGGCTCTGGAAAGCCAGTATGAAATTTTTGGAATTTTTCAAACTGACTGTTAAGCATAGCCATTGTTAAAAATTAAATTACATAAACTTACAACTAAATAAATCTCATTAATATCAAAGATAAATTCTGACACTTACCACTTCTAATTATTTTGCATTTTACTATGATCTAAGGTCTTGAGATTATTTACATCTATTGTGTCTGCATGTTGGAAATACTATGCAATGGCGTACTACTACACATCTCTTCCTAACTCCAAATTCAGTGATGTCATGTCAATCATTGGCAAATACTGCAAACTGGGGCTTTGCCCTCACCCCCAGAGCCAGTTTTTAAACATTTTAAAATTTTAAACATTTACCAGTGGGGCGTCTGGATTAACTCACAGTTAAGTGTCCAAACTCTTGATTTCAGCTCAGGTCATGATCTCAGGGTCATGAGATCAAGCCCTCACACATTGGATTATGTGCTCAGCAGGAAGTCTACGTGAGACCCTCTCACTTCCTCTTCCTCTGCCCCTTCCACCCCTGTGCATAGGTGTGCTCTCTCTCTCTAAAATAAATAAATAAATCTTTTAAAAATAAATAAATAACTAAACATTTACCAGCACACAGCTATCCTTTCTGCTTCTATCCTTTTTCCTTATCCATCATAAAACTTACCATTTTGTTGAATTATGGCTATCACCTAATAGACTATAGACTCGGTAAAGTAAGACATAGTGTCTCACTATTTCCATCACCTTACTGATAATGATATTACTAAAAAATTTGTCATAGCTATGTGTCTGTTAAGCCACTGAAATTATAGCAAAGCAAACTCCTGTAAAGTTAAAGGAGCATAGGTTGTTAACTATACAATCTTCAATGGCTAGCTCAGTGAGCATTCAATAAATATGTGTTGAGTGAATTAATTATTAATGAATAATTAAATTATTTGTTAGAAAGGTTGATAGTCCTGCCTAGGTACCACTGATTTCCTCTGAGGATGCTGGGTCATCTTCTGAGGAAGATGGATGGGTAATCAAAAAGGTAACGACAGCCTTGGGACAGCACCTATTGTGACTAGAAAAGAATAGAACTAAGGCAAGAAATTAAAATAAACTTCAGGAGAAAAAAACCTCAAGTTTCTGTAAAAAATTAGGAAGTGATAGACAATGGCAACTGTTTCACTTTTAAGCATTCCATACCTTAAAGAAGCAATATGAAGTCATTTTCTAGTGCAAATAACTATGGAGAACTGATGCATTTACATTAAGTTCAATCAGGGGGAAAAAAAAAGTTGTACCTGGAGGACTGGAATATCTGAGCATGGCATTCTGTGTCTTGACCTCCCCAGCTGAGTTTCTGGCCATACACTGATATTCACCTTGGTCTGACTCACGAGTGTTTCGTATCATGAGTGTCCCATCATCAAACAAGTTAAGTCGAGTATCATCTTCCAAATCCAATGAGTGGCTGTAAATACACATTTTACATACATATTATTTAATCCCAATCATATTGAAAACACTTACCAAGACTGAAAATATAAGACCTTATAAATATGCTTTATTTACATCAACTTATTGATTTTTAAATTGTCTTAATAATTCAGATCATCTTAATTTAAATCCTAGTTGTCCCTTCCTATTTCTGAGATTGTATCCTAAACACAGGTTTCAAGTCAAGACATGATAGAAAGGAAGGAGGTATAAATGTCCGGTTTCCCAAGGCAGCATGGATTTGAACACTGAAGCCATCTCTCCAATATGAAAGATACTTCAGCACATTGTTATACCTCTGAATTCCTATTTTTTTAAAAAAAGTGGAATCACCAAGTGGTGATATGTAAGCTTTGCACCTCTTTTCTGTGAGTCATTCAGTATGCACTTATATTTTGTTGAAGAGTAGGGAAATATTCATATTCAAGGCAACATAGCTCAAAGCCAAGGACAATTATATGACTACTGGCATTAAATAAGCACACCCATTTACCCAGTTGTTGGAGGTTAGGCCCTCTTAACTGAACTGGACCATTTTGGAGATACTAGAAAAATGCTGTTTATCAGTTGAAATGGAATATCCATTGAGCACAGTAGTGAAGACTATCATCCAGAAAGTTCAGACATCAGTATTGTGTTTTTTTGGGGTTATCTTTAGCAATAAATGCAAAGCTACTGACACATAAATATATGTCAGAAGTTTCAACAGAATTTTTTTGTCTTACCAGAGTACTTTTTCCCCTTTAAAAATACTGAATAATCATTTGTGAGGAGGAATATAGATGTTCACATGAGTATGCTTAGTACTATAAAAATATTAAACATAAAAAATTTCCCCCCAACATACATTCATCACTCAATAGGTATTTATTAAACACTTACTATATGTCACCCATCAATAACACCCTTAATAGAGGACAAAGTCCATTGAGAGGATTTCATTTCTTTCTTTTATAATTTGTTTGTTTTACAAAGCCAATGGCTTCCAAATAAATATTTGTCTTACTAATTTAAAAATGTGCCAACACTGAAGAGTAATAACGCATCTTTTCATATATGTAAAAACTAAATCATGTTAAATTAAAGAGATGGAGAAACCATCCTCATTCAGCAGTTTTCATCACAAGGGATAAAGAAGCACATAATGGCCAAATTTTACATCCATTCTTTTAGAGTGGAGCAGAAGACAAGACAGGACAGATAGATGCCATCTGTTCTTCTTCGCCCACTGAAAAGCCTAATTTTAAGAACACCAGTTAGTCAATGAGAACTTCAAGTTGCTATTTTTGAAGAGATTAGCTTTAGGAAAAACTATATTGCTTTTGAAAGGCCAGCAATGCAAAGCATAAGAAACTAGATCCTGGATATTCCTGTAAGTATAGACTGCCACAACTACTCAGTGACAGAAACATGCAATGAACATCAGAAAACGTGTTTTTTTTTAAGTGCACAAATTCAAAAGTATTATTTAGTATTAAATGAATTACTTTAAACACAATTCTAAAATCATCTAACCTAGAATCCAAATAAGCCTACTTGCAAAGGAACATGCCAGCAATAATGGAATTTCACCTTTTCCAAAGATGAATTAGTTTCCTTAAAATTTGTTCTAGGAGCTTCTGAGCTGGTAAACACATAGAGATTTCGGTAGTGTCACACTCAGAAAGCATAGAAGCTCACCACATAGCTTGCCCTATGCATCTTTTCCATCTGGCTGTTCCTGAGTTATATCCTTTTTATAATAAACTATAATTTAACTCTTCCCAACTCCTTGGAATGATATGACAAGACACAGTCCCTTCCTTCATGGAGGCAGTCTTGTAAAAGGACAGACTAGTACAACATGACATTTGTCTCAGCCTCCATGTGACGGAGAATTCAGACAAAAGAAAAAGGAGGGAGAAGAAGAGGAGGAGGAGGAGAAAAATAGTTGCATACACACATTACACACAGAGAAATAAAGCAAATGTGGCAAAAAAATTTTGTTCTAAAATTGACTCCTAAAATATCAAAAGTTACCAAATGTGTACATGATATCTATCTTCTGACTAGACAATGCAAGAGAATTCACCAATTTTCACTCTTTAGAGTGATTTAAAACCAACAGCAGCACATCACACCCATAAATTTAAAATGCACCATTCCTTTTCCTGGTTATTTCCCCCTTTGTTCCTATCTTCTTCACTACACTGATAAAAGTTGTTTGCTCATGAATCATGATGTTCCTTCAAAAATTCAAAGCAAGTCTTCATGATTCAATATACATATCACATTGTTAATTTGATGCAAACCAAGTAGCAATCATATGTAAAAACACAAAGGTTTGCTTAAGTAAAATTTACCCAGACTTTTTCTCTGGAAAATGTGCCAATAAACACATTTGATTTATTAAAGGCAATTCATTGTGGCAAGCATTTATCAAATGCTTTCTAAGAATTAGGCCCTGTGGCTAGGTACCAGAAATATAAAGATGAATAAGTTATCATCTGTGCCCATAAATTTAAAATATCTTCCACATAAGAAGGCATATAGTGAAAAACTATAAGCAGAATGTAATTATAAGGCTTGTTTGTAATCTACTGTAACTATTGTACTAATATTTGCCACAGCTTCATTTTTTTTAAATGGCCAAAATTCCCACAATCTAGAACCTCAACATTAAGAAAAACATGGTTGGTTTAGAAAACTCTTTAGTATTGTTGATTATCTTGCTCAACATCTAATGGCACTCGAAGATTATAGATTAAAAGCCAAAGTCATAGCCTTCCAGTTGTTTGCAATCTTTTTTCCTCTTATACTCATAGGTAAAACCTCTATTCCAACAAATATGATCTACCCTCTTTCCCAAATCCAATCATAATTGATTTCCATCCTGTGCCTTTACTCATTCATTCTCCAATTAGAATGCTTTTCCTCCTCTTTGAATTCAATAATTTATTTAAAAATTATTTTGATTATTATTTCTAGGTACTGTAATCACTTTACTCTCCTCCTGAGAAACCTAAAGAATCTCCAAACATCAATAAGTGGTTGATTTTTATTTTATTAAATTTTATTCAAAGAAAAGGGATCTTTATGAAGTTGGTTCTTTACTATGAGTTGAGATTTTTGTTTTTTTATATGTGATCAATTTTGATAAAAATTCCATAGTTACTTGAAAACATAGCATAGTGTAGCTTTTTATGTAGTAGATATATGTGTTACATATAAAACCAGCCTTCCTATGTTGTTCCTATTAATTTTTGTTCTTATTCTTTCTAAGAGAAGACTACTGTAATTTCTCCCTATAATTGACTTTCTGCCAATTAATCCTGGTAATCCTCTTAATTTTGTTTTATTTTCAGACAGCTACTTTGTTAGGTATACAAAGTTTTGTGAATCTTATCTCCCGATGAATTGTTGCTTTTATCACTTATGATCTAATGATATGCAATTATACCTTTTTCAAATTTATTTTGATTGATATTAATCTGGATATATATAGCACCTTTATTTTGTTTAGAGAACTTTGTTGTTATGTGTTTACCCATCTAGCTTCTACCTCCCCATATCATAATGTTTTAAATAAACATAAAAAGCACATAGCTGAATTTTTTAATTCAATCTTATGTCTTTCAAAAGACTACTTAATTCTGTGCATTCATTGTTTTTATTAATATATTTAAGCTTATTTCTGATGTGATATTCTGTTCATTTTCTCTGTCCTTTGCCATTCCTATACCTTAATTCTATCTCTCCTTTCCTTTTGTTGATTGGTCCCTTTTTCTTTAATCACTCTTTCCCTTCTCCTAGTATGAAAGTTGTATTCTTTTCCTTATCTTAGTATTTCACCATAATTTTTAACAGGCTTTCTTAACTTCTCAAAATCCAGTCAATATCATTGTACAATTCAAAAATGGGGCATGAAAAACTATTTATGTCCTCTCTCCTTACAATGTTTTTGTTAGTTATCATCTAATATTTTACTTCTCTCTTACTTTAGACTTGGTCAATACTTTAACAATCTCAGTTAACTTGTATTTATCAACATGTTTAAAAATACTTTGTTTTGACCTTTGCTTCTTGCATATCATATCTTCCTTATTTATAATACTTTTAGCAAATATCCCCAAGTAAACCTCAACTCCTTGAAAATGTCTTTATTTTACTTGTCAGTTAATTTAGCTGAATATAAAACTGAAGGAAACTAGATTTTTTTCCCTTTAACAAACTAAATATATGCAATTACCTTCTGGTATATAAAGTTAACTGTCAGTGTAATTGTTATGCATTTGTGGGTAATCTGCAAATTATCTTGGATTGAAAGATTTTATCTCTTTCAATTTTCTTTTTTTTTAATTTTATTATGTTATGTTAATCACCATACATTACATCATTAGTATTTGATGTAGTGTTCTATGATTCATTCTTTGAGTATAACACCCAGTGCTCCATTCAATACCTGCCCTCTTGAATACCCATCACCAGGCTAACACATCCCCCCACCCCCTCCCCTCTAGAACCCTCAGTTTGTTGCACATAGTCCATAGTCTCTCATGGTTCAGCTCCCGCTCTGATTCCCCCTCTTCATTTTTCCCTTCCTACTAGCTTCTTTTTTTTTTTTAACATATAATGTATTATATGTTTCAGAGGTACACGTCTGTGATTCATCAGTCTTACACAATTCACAGCGCTCACCAAAGCACATACCCTCCTCAATGTCTATCACCCAGCCACCCCATCCCTCCCACCCACTACCACTCCAGCAACCCTCAGTTTGTTTCCTGAGATTAAGAGTTCCTCATATCAGTGAGCTTAGATGCATGTCTTTCTCTGATTGACTTATTTTGCTCAGCATAATACCCTCCAGTTCCAACCACGTTGTTGCAAATGGCAAGATTTCATTCCTTTTGATCGCTGCATAATATTCCATTGTATACATATACCACCTCTTCTTTAACCATTCATCTGTCGATGGACATCTTGGCTCTTTCC